GCTATATTTGATTATGCAGGTGACTACCAGTTCAGTTAGTAATATCTAACACTTGCTTCTCCCTTGAGGGAAGGACACAAAATGAGCCACTTACAAGAGTACAGAAGGGTCACTACTTTGTCTGCTGAGATGATAAGATATTGCCACTAACAAACCACAAAATATGGAGAAGAGGACTGGAATATGCTGCCCATCCCAAGAATCCTGGAGACAGAAATGAAATGTTAATAAAAAGGAGACAAGGTATGTAACACTTATCTGGCATACAGGAATTATGTTTGTCATAGTAAGAGAATGCAAAAATTAACTGTAATTCCACAAAAATTAAACAGGAGTTTTAGTACAAATATACTGTTCAACATTTATGTGTCTAACTATAGATAAGAAACTCTGACATAATGTACATCCCTTAAGCCTGTACCATCTTAATCATTAAACAATAATTCGTTTTCATAACCCTTATAAAGGATTTCCTGCATTCATTCCTGAGACCACAGGTTCTTAAGAGTTGCATTTAGTCACCTCTTAATTCTGAAAGTTATATGTTTTAACTCAGATTAACTTTTATCTGAATTCAGATTAAACCAGTGGTTTTATTTTCGTTCTCATGACCCAGACTGGGTCTGCAAAGATGAGACAGTGATTGCAAAAGCTTGTTTATCTTTAACATATGTGTTTACGAAAGTCTAATGAGACAAATGCAGAAATCCACAGCAAGCTAATGATGTTCTGTGGCTGACAGCACCATGGGAGTATTTCCTCCAGCAACTTCTTACTCTCTGCGAGACAGCAGAAAAAAGCCAGTCAGCTCGGAGCTGGAAGGCGCACACGCTACAATCAATAGTGAACTGAGAGCATTTGGTTACTGACACAAACCTGAACCAGCACTTCACTGTTCTCAAACAGAATGGCATTTCAAGCAAGGAAAAGCCGATTGGTTTGGGGCTCTTTCTCCCCCTTCCTTCCCCCTTCACTCTACCTTTCAGATTAGTGTCAAAATGAAGATGTGTACCAAAGTGCTTCTTGGTTTCTTTTCAAGTAAAGATTAATTTGAAAAAAAAAACTATTTGTTTCGCAGTACTGGAAAAAATACTCACATGAGCCATTTTGAGAGGTTTAACCAATTCACGATGACTGTGTAGAAACAAGCCACTTAGGGGTTTTTTTTTTTTTCAAAGAACCAATGTAGAATAGAACTGACTGTACATGTCATGTGTTTTTGGCCAAAAAACAGCCTGTTGGTACAGGCACAAATCACACACACTTTTTAAAGGTAAAAAAATCTGCTTCGTTCTCTTTTATTGACATCACAGCTGAGCAAGTATAAACCACTACCAAATCAGACTAATATTTCTAGTTCATTGTCTGCATATTTAAGTATCCAAGATACAAGGAAGCAGAGAACAAAATCCAAAACATTGATATATGCCGAGTCTAACACTTCGCTCACCTTCAGGGCACCATAGCACAGTCCATACAACAATGCTACTGCCACAATACTACAGATAAAACTGTAAAGTGCTGCAAGCAGGCTTGTGGTAGCTGGATATCACAGAAGAGAAAGAAAAATTAAACAGCGTCACGTAATTAGGTTAGAATACAAGATACTTTCGATTGTTATCAGCCCCCGAGTTGCAAACTCCTCTGATATTAAACAAAAAACCCAACCCAGAGGATTCCAACCCAAAGGCAATTACTTGTATGATCTAAAAAGCTATTTACATGCCTTCATTTACCTCCTCATTTATTCAACAGCATTACCATGGGAATGGTTAACAACTGCAACAGAAACCATTCCAGGTAAAAGAAGAGTGTATTTTTTTTGACAGACTTATTAGGACAGTAATTCTATTTCTCAATAATCAGAAGACCTTTAGCCTTTTAAAAAAATATTATTAACATTCTATGTTTAGAGGGTGGGAATACAAATAGCGTCGCTGATAACTAAGAGTGGATAGTGATTAATCACTAGATTTTTTAAACTAGGCTGCTCCTAATTGAATGCTTTTGTCACTGACACAAACACCACCACTCACCATTGCCACCGAAGACGTGAATATCCAGCTGTTCACAGAGATACATCACAAATGTATTCACCTGAGGCAGGAGACCAATGAAGAATACTATAGGGAAACATAGTGTAAACACTACGGAGGAAAATAAACAGTTGGAAAAGTGGTGAATATGAGAAATGTACTCTTCAGTTTTAAGTTCTAGCCTATCTCGCACACCATTTAACTCAACATCACTGAAGTAATTCTGCTATTATTTCTAAGGAAAACCTCAATTATGTAAATCTCTACTTCAGTGACTCGTAACTGAGTATGGAGGTTACACAGACCAGTAGTCAGAACACTTCTTGTGCTTCCATTTCAATCGCTGTCGAAAGAGACACAGGCCAATTCAGGCTTTCTTTTTTTATTTCGCCAAGATCAGCCAAGAGTATTGACCGATTAGAAGATTTCTAAGTTTCCACTCACTGCAATTGGGGCTTATCCAAGCCTGACTGCCCGTCTGGGGTTCCAGGAGCAAGCTAACACCAGCCACGCTGACGTCAGGGAGGCCAAGCATTTCACCTCTGGGTTTTCTGTCACTAACAACGTCTGACAACTTTACCCATTTTCCCACACCACTTCTGGTTGGTGGTTGTTTTTTTTTAATGAAAAATGGGTAACTGTATGAGCCATTCAAACCTCTGCACGTTACAGGACGTAAGAACGCAAAGATAAACAAGTACCACTTAATTATAATACTGTGAATGGTATGTACCTATCATTTACTTTTCATCTTAAGGAATAAAAGATGAGAAATAACAAATCTTTTACACTATCATTAAGTAGTTTGGCCATAATTCACAAGCAGCAGAGTATCGTATGTTCTAGGTTCTGAGGGACAGTACAATCAAACCGTGAAAATAACCCTGACAAAATCTGACAGGTTAGGGATTTTTCACCTGACAGTGTGAAAACAGAAACAATTGGTTATAAAAGTGGAGTGTATTTAGACCAGTTCATCAAAGTCCAGTATGTGCTTTTGTTCCCACAATTTTTCTCCCTTATGCGGAAAAGCTGAGGGAGCTGGGTCTCTTTAGTTTGCAGAAGAGGAGACTGAGGGGAGACCTCATTCATGTTTATAAATATTTAAAGGGTGAGTGTCACGAGGATGGAGCCAGGCTCTTCTCGGTGACAAACAATGATAGGACAAGGGGTAACGGACACAAACTGGAACACAGGAGGTTCCACTTCAATTGGAGAAGAAACTTCTTCTCAGTGAGGGTGACAGAGCCCTGGCCCAGGCTGCCCAGAGAGGTTGTGGAGTCTCCTTCTCTGCAGACATTCAAAACCCGCCTGGACGCCTTCCTGTGTAACCTCATCTGGGTGTTCCTGCTCCGGCAGGGGGATTGGACTGGATGAGCTTTGGAGGTCCCTTCCAATCCCTAACGGTCTGGGATTCTGTGATGTGGGGGACAAAAGACAAAAAATTAATACCAGTCCTCACTTGTCTATTGGCAAGGACACAGCAATTCCATTATCGAAACACAAGGTTTGCCTTGCCCGGCACCTGTGTTGCTCAGGTTGATAGGAAAAATGGCAGCTGAGATTTTCCCTCTGTGCTAACAAAGCACGTCTGCATTTTTGTGATACACGCAGCTTTCTGAAACGGTGCTGCAGCAACATTACGAGTTGCTCCAAAGGCAAGGCTGTGCATGTGTGTGGACGGGGGTACATAGGGGTTTTTTTGTTCATGGCATTTGTTTTGTTGTTTGGGTTGGTTTTCTTTGAAGTGAAGAAGTGAGAGCTATTCTGGCAATCTAATTTTTTATTGGTAGAACTGCTAAGAAAATATAAACCACAGAAGCTGATACCTGGGAAGAACAGTAAAATATAAGGCTCAACAAGCATTCAGAACTCTCGCATTGAGACATTTTAAAAGCTAATCCCACACAGCCTGGTGAAGATGCCCGCACGTCTTTTTTAAACCGGAAAAGACTCTCAAGTACTTTTTCAAAGTAGGTCGTTTTCATTTTCATTGTACAACACAGCACCACCATATAAATTTATGTATTAACTTATGGGGATACCCATACACATTATTGTGATGACTTAAGGTGACAGAAAATGGATGAAGAGACTTCTGAACCTGACTGAGCATGAACAAGGGGAAATGAAGGTAGTTTTGTATCTCAAGAGAGTCGAAGCCATCTGCTGTGTTAACTTCGTTCTCCATCACAGATACAGAATGAAGTCTGCCAGTGCATTAGAAGATCCACAGAATCCATAGAAAAGCATCTTTGGTAATAACTGGACAATACTTTGTTCATAAGTGGCTTAGACATTTACCCTCTGGACATTTAAATTTAAACCCCAATTTACTAGTAGAAAGTCGAAGGGAGAAACAGCATGCGGTATGAAACTCGGGTTGTTCCTAAAATCAAGCAATACAAACTAATTCCCAAAATGCTCAAGTCAGAAATTCTTATTGACCAATTAAAAGTCAAAACTAAAATAAAATTAAAAAAAATTAAAAAGAACCAATACAAAAATTAAGGCCAAGACTTAATTTTTCTTGGGCAGATGACTGACTAAGAACTGGAGGCACGCAGTCATAGTAATTAACTGCTGTAGCATTTCACAGACAGATATCTTGGTACAACTGAAGAGCAGGAGTGTCCAATTTAGAGGAATTCTTACAGATTCTCTTCCCCCTCTAAAGAGGTGATCCAGAGAGGATCACCCAAATCACTTTGCTCCATTCAAGAATATGCACTAAGTCCCCATGATAAGATGGTCTTCAAATGTTTACATTCTGTCTCTTCTTTCTATGGACTCTGCTGTTACTAGTTTCAGTAAATTTTGTAAGCAAACAGGGGAAAGGTTTGTGGTTTGGGCTTTTTGTTGTTGTTGTTGGTTTGCTGGGGTGGGGTGACAGTAGATGCCAGCAGTATTGTGACTGCACTGTGCTGCTCAGAATACAGAAAGTATCTCATATAGCCCAAAACTTTACTTTTTATATTGATGATAGGCCTGTTCTAAGAAACACATTAAATAAGATTTAATCTATAATGCTTTTTAAAAATTGTGTTTAAAAAACTGTTCTACTTGACTGCTAGCACACAAATAAGCTGATTTAAGAGAACTCCTACTCATTTGCCACAGGACCCTCTAGAGACGACAAAAGAATCCAAATCAAAACATTTCTTTAACTACTGAGCAGCCAGGTCCAAGTTAAGAAAAAAGAAGTTTCAGGGATGAGGACTAAGATACCAGGTAATTAAAAAGCTACAAGTACATATATTTTTCCTATGACACCACGCTAGTTGGCATCTCCGCAATTTGTTACAGCAAAGCTACAGAAGGGGAAAATTTTCCCATAAAATTCAGCAAAGCTAAAACTACTCCAAATGAGCTGCATTTAGAAGGTGATGATGCAACAGTGTCATCACAAGATATGATATCATCCACTGTGGTGAAGCAAACAATTCAAATCCATGAAAAGCCACTCACCTATAACTAAGTCCCTGGCCGACAGCAGCAGCAATGGGTTGGTGAAAGCCATTCCATACAACCTGAATCTTGTTGTAGATATGTTCCTGCTGCCATAATCCAACAGCCAAATAAGACCACAACATAAACAGAAATAAACAGGCCTACTATAGGCTATGATACGATTATGACCCTGTTTAAAGAACAAAACAAAACACACATTTGGTTCGTTATTAGCAAAAATAAACAACCCTGTTACTCTTCTGTTACAGAAAACTTCACAACCAAAACAACTGCCATCTCAGCACGTCCTTAAGTTTTGTTCATAAACTTCTTAATGCATTGCCCCGCAGTTGTATCAGATCTTTTCTTTGTGGCTTCGATATAGTGAGGACATAACAGTTAGATTAACTTTGACTAAGTTACGTTTACCCTTACTCTCCACTAAGTTTTAAAGTATGTTTCTTGCAAGACTAAGTGCCAGAGAAACTCTGACTAGACTTTGTAAGAAAGAGAGCATATATTAATTTTGAAGAAAAAGCAATTAAAGTTTATTATTCAGATACTGCTCCTGCTGGGGGAAAGAAAAATAATCTGGTATTTGTGTGTTCATTAGACAACTTATTACCAAAAATAATATGAATGACTTGCTGCAGAGGAATAATACTTTTTCCCATTTTATTCAGGACATAAAAATATCCTGTCTTGGCAATCCAGCAGATGCACAACAGAACACAAACACACTGTGCAATACTAGCACATTAATATTTCCATGCTCAAATGTTAAAGCTCACTGGAGCATTGCACACTCAGCTTAACAGAGTGAAAGAAACGAGGCTGTGTGCACACTAGGATGACTGAACGATCGACAAGACCAGAACGGAAGGTCAAAGCCGTGTCAGTTCACACCAGCAGAGCAAATTACAGCACTAAGAATACTTCTCAGTATAACTGCTTTAATACTAACATTCATCAAAAACCCGATCATGACATGGCTCTAGAGCAAAAGCTAGGCTTAAAAACAGGGAGGACATCATTTGCTAAACACAAAGTGCATGGAGTGAAGAAGTCCTATCAGTTTCCAAGCCTCATGTGCCTTACGAGAGAGCACATAAGAGAAAACCCAAGAAGAACAGATCAAAAAGATCAACTCTGCGTGGCAGTTCTGCACCTGCAGGGTTAGTACAGGGGTATGTGTCCATGACTTACATGTCGAGGGGAAGAAGAATCTGGCTGAACACTCTGAAACCAAAACAGAAAGAGGAAAGTTACCCAGTGTACAGAGAAGTGCGTTTACTGCTCCCCTGCCTGCACAGTCTTGATACAACTCTTATCATAATAGAGTTTTACAACTGTCAAGCCATTTTAGAGCCTTTAAATAGCACCATGTATTAAACCATAAGATCTGTTCCAAGAATATCATGTCTAGCCAAAGTGGGGTTTTGTAACCCCCCTGCCCCATTTTTAGAATGCTTTTTTTAAGCAGTGTGTTATACACTTAAATTTGAAATCTAATTTCCACCCTAGCAGTCTAATCGAGAGAATATAAACAATAATTCTTAATTATAAAAATACCACTAACACTTATCTGTTAAAAACTAAGGTTCTGATTAAAAATATGGTGAGATATGATTGCTTAACGTGAATGCATTGATGTGCATTCACTAAAAAAAACCAAAACAAAACCAGTAAAACTTCCAAGTTCAGTTTGTAGGCTGTTTTCAACCAGCAAGAATGTGCTTCTCTTTAGGGAAGCAAAAAGTGCATGAGAACAACAAATAAAGGGTTGTTTAACAAACATACGTATAACCGCTCTGGTGAAGTGACCTTGTATGACAACCTAGCAAACTTTCCATGAAGCTGAAGTTTACCTATTTCTTTTCAAATGATAACCATGCAGGTTTTCTTCCTTAAAGCTCGAACCAACCTGCAACACCCAACCAAAGTTACTGCTTACAGAAAGTGAAAATAGAAATTAAAGTACCTTCAACAGCGAGTACTGACAACTGGCTATTACCAGGCAGAACTGGAAGACCCAAATATCCTTGAAAAAGCCCTCTATAAGAAGTACAGAGCCCAGAAATGCAACTAGGATAGCTAGGATGACAGCTAACACGTTTTCAAGGATCTCACGATTCCTGTATTAGAAAGAGAAGGGAGGGGAAAAAAAAGGATCATTAAAAGTTAACTATGTCTAGAAAAAGCTGCCAGTGAACAGTCAGGGTCAGAAGTTTTGTAACAAGAGTTATGCTGCTGGTACCAAAAAGTGGTGACGAATAGATTTGAACTTGCATAGACTACACTGCACAGTGGCTTTTAGCAAAGATAGGAGCTACCAGGATTTTAGAGTAGCTCAAAGCAATTAGTACCTTGTGGAATTGAACTTTAAACAGCAGAAGATAACTTCAGAAATAATTCAAATGCTCAAAGGACGGTCTGTAACATCAACTGATATTCGAGGCTCACACAGGATGTCAGAAGTTAACAAGACTCATGCTGCTGGTACCAAAAAGTGGTTACGAGTAGATTTGAACTTGCATAGACGTATACTGCGCAGTGGCTTTTAGCAAAGATAGGAGCTACCAGGATTTCAGAGTAGCTCAAAGCAATTAGTACCTTATGGAATTGAACTTTAAACAGCAGAAGATAACTTCAGAAATAATTCAAATGCTCAACCAAAGGACGGTCTTTAACATCAACTGATACTCGAGGCTCACACAGGATGACTACAAGCCTGTGAGAAGTACATGCATGGTAGCTTATCTGTATATAATCTGTCACTCATTATTTTGTAACGAAGAAACTAATATATGCCAAGTGGAATGAAGGTAATTCTGTACCACATTGGTAGTGTTTAAAAACAGAACTAACAGTATTTCTGCCTGGACAAAACCATTACTATATTGTTAATCTCAGGGAAGTTCATTAGCAAGATTTAAATACTCTATAGATTCCAAAAGCTGGTAACTGGAGGGTCACCCTTGTTATATTCCACTGGGTAAATAGGCTGCAGTATTAGATGATCCTGTGAAACAGCAAGTAAATTCTCTCTACTTGCTGAAATAGTGTAAGTGCATGCCAGGTTCTAGACCTTTTCAGTATTTTTTTTGGAAACTGTTATTTTCAAGCTTTAAAGATTAGCAACAAATCTCTCTTTTTGCCCATTCAAATACATGGCTGCCCCACTCACATTAAGTGAGGAGTTTGAGGTTGTTTTCCTTCTTCGCTTTGCCAGAGAAAAAGGGAAAGCAGCCTTCATTATTACAGAAACCTGCATGTTGTATTATTCTTTCACCTCTCCGAGCACAGTAAATAAGCGCAATTCTCTAAGGATAGCTTTATCTATATTACTCAGTTTAGTTACCATCTTTTAATCTTTACTTTGAGGTCTACATACGAGGATCTCACCTGTCAAATAAAGCCAGAAGAGTTAATCTATCAAAATTGATGCTAATCCAAAGCTTAGGCAGGATCCAAAAGCGATAGTACTGCTTGACTTTTTGAGCTGCTTCCTCTTGAGGCTGCATGTGGTCCTGAAGGTCAGGGCTCAGGTCAATATCTTGCTGCTCCAGCAGATCTGTATCCATGGTTAGCAGCCTGTTCAACCTGATCTGAGGAAGAGAAAGCTAAAAGAAAGTCAGTATTAACAAAACCACATTTTTATTGTATCGCTGAAAGCTGCTTTGGAAAAAAAAAAAGCTATTTTAAAATGACTTGGTTTCTCTTTTGAGAAGTTATATGTTAAACACTGCCAGTTCTCAGGCTTCCACTTACTTTTCCTGTCCTTACCATGGCAAATGAGGAGCACCAGCAGTCATAACAGTTTGCACACAACACGTTTGCTATTTTAGCATATGCCTTACGTCAAATGAAGTACGAACATGCCTTCCAAGCACATTATCCCATTTACTCTGAAAACTTCAAATTTGAAGACAAGTAAACTGATACGTGAACAACGGATACTACAAAAATAATCCAGTCCCGAGCTTAAATCGATTACACCACTTTTCTTAGAGTCAGCTAATCTGCATGCACACCCACGTCAGATGGTTGGATCTGCATGACAAAGCAACATATGCATGCACCAGTGGTCAAATTCAAACTCACTACATTCAGAATATACTCAGACAAACTAACACAAGATGTGGCCTAAGTAGTCACCTACTATTTATGACTGACTGTATGTCTCGCTTAGTTTGGCGTTTGTCACTCCAGAGTTCTCTTCAAATCCCAGTAATATCACCAACCATACTGGACATTTAAGGCGAGTACTCAGAATTCACTACACTATCTGTATGTCCTCTAAATCACTTTATAAATGTTGTTAACAGGCCAAGAAACATCTGAATGCACTGCCTTTTATTATTAAACAGTATCATCTTTAAAACATCAATTAATGAAAAATCTTCACTACCTTTGAAGGAAAAGAGTAAAATGTCACCTTTAAGTGTCAAAATTACTGGGTTTTTATTTTGGTGGTGGGTTTTGATTGGTTTGGTTTGGTAGTTCTAGGGGTTTTTTTGTGGTTTTGTTGGGGTTTTGGGTGGGGTTTTTTGTTTGCTCATTTTTTTATAATTACCGTGAAGTTTAAGGTTCGATTTCTCATTTTTGAAATCTTTTTCTCCATGACTCCTTAAAGCATCAGTGTACTGTAACAACGCTCAGTTGGCTTTTCCTTCTCAGGAAAATACTAACAGAACCAATAAGCAGAAGCACTCCCTTTCTAAAGGGAATTCTAAAACACAAAAAAACCCTAAAAGAAGCTGTGTTAGGTAAGAGGTGCTTTTCTGACAACTTCTTAAAACTTGGTTTCTTAACAGGCAGAATCATAACATGACATCCATTGCACTAATAATAATTTGAGTGGAAATTTCCATTCAGGCACATGGGCTAAGCTTTCAAAAATACCAGATTGCCTTAAAGAGAATCATTCCCTTCAATGGGACCACACTGGCAAACCAAGAGCACATAACAAGTTACACAGCCTCTTGTTTGAAGGCTACATTTTCATGTGGGATGTTGAAAAGAGCCCAGCAGAGCCACAGAGATGCTGGAGGGAGTGGAGCATCTCCTGCTGAGGAGCGGCTGAGGGAGCTGGGGCTCTGGAGCTTGGAGCAGAGGAGACTGAGGGGTGCCCTCATTCCTGGGGATCCATTGGGAAAGGGCAGTGTCAGGAGGAAGGAGCCAGGCTCTGCTCTGGGATGGCCAATGCCAGGACAAGGGGCAATGGTCCCAAGCTGGAGCACAGGAGGTTCAAGCTGAAGATGAGGCCAAAGTTTGTGAGTGTGAGGGTTATGGAGCATGGCCCAGGCTGCCCAGAGAGGTTGTGGAGTCTCCCTGTCTGCAGACACCCAAAGCCCTGGCCGTGTTCCTATGTGACCTGGTCTGGGTTATCCTGCTCTGGAGGGGTTGCACTGGGGGAGCTTTCCAGGTCCCTTCCAACTCCTGATATTCTGGGATTCTGTGAACAGCAAAGTAAGTTCCCCTAGCAGACACCAGGTTTGAAAAGCAAATTCTTGATGAAAAGCATGGCCAGGCAAATGGAGGTCTGCTGCTCCTCTGCCTAATGCTGAATCCGTATTTCATTTTCCCTTCTGATCAGGACATCAGGTTTAGTTTCTTTAGCTTAACTAATATGCCAAGTTTATAATAGTAAACTTTAGTTTCCTAGCTTAAGATTCAGCACCTTAAGAATCATGACCATTCGCACTCTTTTCATGAGACAGCAAGTAAGACTTCAGAATTAAGAGTCCAGGTATGTCTGGACTTGACAACAATTCGCAAGGTTTGAGATCACTAAACTAAGGAATTCTCAAGCTATTTGCAGTAGTACACAGTGTAAGCTTCTGCCTTCCCCTCCTCACTCACTCCTCGCCTGTGAATTCAAGTTTTGTAGATCCCAATGAGAAATGTTTAAATTCCTTTCAGAGAAATAACTGAAGCTTCTCTTGGCCAGAACACCAAATCTGTTCTGCCTGCTAATCTTAGTAATGCACAAGTGAGAAACTGTCCAAGTTGTCCACTCATCTCTGGAAAGCTTTGTAAGGTCTCTCAGAACATCCAATTTCCATGTGATTTTATAAAAACCACTGTTTTAGATCGGAGGAAACCATTTATATTTAAATTTGAGAGTGCTATGCAGAAAGATGAATCTGTACATATATACGAAGACACTGCAACAATAAATAAATACTTTACCTTCAGTTAAACCCAAGCAAAAATCCTTCTTAAGAACAAACTACCACACAGGATGATTAATCAGCGCTACAGAATTGGAAAGTCTTCTGAATTTTTTGCATGCTTTAAAAATAAGTAAGAAAAACTTACTAGATCATGTGGATAAAAGCGAACTGAGGTAGAACTCGATACGTGAGAGTCCGTGTCACTATAAGAACAGGGGAAAGACTTCAGATTATAAAGTTACATTTTATTTCAACAGGCCACTCTAAATTTTCTAGTGTCCCAAATTAATTTTGACTCCTCACAAACTTTATCTAAACATCTTTCTTGAAGTTTTCCCTTTGATCATATATTTTAAACACAGATATCCACTTCGTCTTGGATAAATTCTGTAACTACAGTAAATCAGGAGACTCTTTACCCTTACCCGTGGTACAATTTTCTCAACACCTTGTCCCCAAGTTGTCTAACAAGGGTTATCAAGATACTAATTACTTCACTTTGGAGCAGGGGGGAAGGAAAAAAATGAGATGTTTAATAATTTGTTAGCTACTGATGTGTAAACACACAGCACGTAACTAAAGGAGTACAGAGTCCGCTCTGTGTCCACAGAGTTTGTTAATTCTATACTGTTTTCACCAAGGTTCCAAAACTGCCAAAAATATTACACAGTTAACACAAGCATACTGAGTCACTTAATCCTAAATTGCTTTGGAAAAACAACTTGAAATAAAATTACATCTCAGGTAAGAAGACCAAAATTACTCTGCAATTTCCATTCATTAGAGATGAGGAGAAATTTTATCTTACTGTATGAGAGTCCATATCCAACCACTGCTTTTTTTCCCCCAATTTGGGATAGCTTTTGGATGTTTGATTTCCATGTCTATCACATGGCTGTAAGACTCGTATCAAAATTTATGCAACTTTCCTTCAGTTCCTTGCCTTAAGATAAAAACATTCTTGTGTTACCAGTTTTACTTCACTGCAACTCAAGTATTCCCTAAAGGTGAGATCTGATTCTTTGGATGTGGCCAGCTTGTTTCTTCCATGAGCACAAATAACATCATCACAGCAGCCATCAGCAAAGCCATTGCATCTGAAACATGCAAGCGCTAGAGGCAGGCACTGGCAGCTTTGTGCAAGGATTACAGAACTTTTTGGCAAAGTTCAGCTCTACAAAAGGCACTTGCACACTTTCACCAGAGAGTTGAAGATGGGAGCTTTTACATTCATTACTCCGTAATTCCAATAGCTATTCCACCTACACGTGGTAGGAATCTGTAGCACCCAGCATGACGCAAGAGCTTCAGAGCAATTCTATGTGGTGAAGTGGATTGAGGGTCGGGGGGCACAGGAGGATTTGTGTTGGTTTTGGTTCTTCTGCCTCCTGTCCCTTCAGAGAAAGAAAGGGCATCTTTCCAAAAGCAGATGAACTTTCCAGTTTGTAGCTGGCTATTCCAACTGTAAGTCAAATTTTAACCTCAGGCATGTTAACACCTCCATGTGCTGTCTCATGCCATCTATGGATTTCAGAACAAAATTTATCAGTTTACATTTGCTTCACAATTGGAAGTTCCTTTGTAAATAAGTGAATAGTTATCATGGTCAGCCACCACCTACTTCCTCAAAACCTAGGTTAAATCCTTTCAGAAAGACTTGCTGTAAGCCAATCAATTTGTCAAGTTCTCAGTTTGGACATTTATTTCTTAGGCTAACGGTAGTCTTCATTTTCTGAGATCTAGTTAAGTGGAAAAGATTATTTATGGAGTCGGTGTCATCTTCAAGTAAAAATCACTTAGGTTTCAAAAGTAAAAGCACATGGGTGTTTTACATTGGGGGGTTTTTTGTAGTCCGTACTAAATTATCTTTTAAAATCAAATTGAAAAGATTTTGTTACAGTAAGACAAGAATCAGCACTCTGGACTGGCCTTCACACACACCAGATGTTGGATGCTCTTCTTGCAGCTGGCTCAAAGTTCACAAGTGACATGTCGCAGCCCCCTGTCTCGTAGAGCGTAGAACTGAACTTACCTGTTGAAGAAAAGGTCAAAAGCAGGTCAAAATTTCATTGTTTCTCATCCCACTGGCACTAGTTTCTATTTATTAACTTATTACCGAGATCAATTTAGATATCTAAATTTACATCAATGTCAGAATATAAAGTGTAATTACACATTAACGTGCCACTAGTGCAGTCAAGACATTAGCTACTCAGTACTGCTTCATACTGTTTTACACGACATGTATACAGTAAACTGTGATACTAAATTTTAAGAGTTCGTATTTACAAGATGGCACCGTTAACATAACAACACAAGGACAATGTGAGCCTTTCCTCCACCCCCTGCAAACTTATGAGAATAACCAGGCAAACAACTTGTGATGACCAGCTTGGTCCGTTCTTCCCTGCCTCCTCCCCCCCAGGCAGAACAAGCAGTAAATCATTCACTATCAGCATTTAAGAAGCATGGCATTCAGCTAAAATTCTTTTGAGAAGCACATGTCTATTTGAAAAGAAACACAACGAGTGAAAGAAGTGGCCAGAGATGCTTCAGAAGCTGTCACCTCGAGAAAAACTGAAAAGGGAATGGCAGGCAGAGATTTCTTCTACAAGCCAGAAGCAAACACTTCAGCGTAAGAACAGAAGACTGCAAACTAACTCCTCACATAAACCATCTGGAGTTACTGGAACTCCATTAACTATCATTTTCTAAAGTTGTTAATAAAAGCCTTTTGAATTAACAATATCAAGCTACTCCTAAACATATAATTAACGAAAAAGTAGCCATAGATTGTAACTCAAATGATAAACTACCTTCCTCACACTATGGTGGTTTTGTAGTGCCCTTCTCCCACAAGAGTCTGACCAGAGAGAGAAGCGCTGTAACTTCCCCCAGAGGTCAGGGTCAATGTATTTCAGCTCTGAATGCAGGAAGCTGATTTTGAAACTGTGATCTCATATGAAATGTTCTGCCAATTTCTCCATCTCCTCTAGCTCAAAGCACTTGCTGAGCCATGATGCAAAGCATGTAATATTTTAAGATCTGCTTATACAAAACAAAAAACCCCCACTTTGGAGCATCTGAAGCAAAGCCTGTGTGAATCTCAGCCGCACGTCTTGTGGCTCTTTCTTCTTCAGTTGATACAGGTTAACAAGCAGTCCAAGGAGAAACACCTAACAAGATCAGAGCTTCCAATCTTCCCCTGTCTGCAAGAATCTAACCTGCTTCTGCTACAGTGGCTTTTTATTTAAAAATAACTAACAAAACACACTGTGATCCTGCTGCAGCTTCTCTTCAGACCCACAGACAATTAAGTTGGAGTTAGAAGTGTTTGAAAGCAAGGTTAAAAGCTTGGAACTGAATGATCAAAATGGGTGAAATTAAGGAAAAATACTGGTATATTCAAAGTGTCTTCACAACACTTTCTACCCTCAAAGGGAGCACTGCAGACTGACCAGACACTGCAGCCACACTAAGACCAACCACTCTGACCAGTGTGCATCAGAGCTCAGCAACGCTCAGCTCTCACTATTTAATTACAACTGCTACAGGTATTTGTAAGGAAACAGAAGTAGAAAGTTCACTTGTTAGTGTTTTTTGTCCTCAACAGTTAAGATTTGAGTGAAGCACTTTAAATATCCTTTGGCTTTTAATGCTCAGTGAAGAGTTGATACTGACATTTGAAATTTAAACTAGTGCAAGAATTCAGGAATCCTCCTCCCACACCGAATAAAAAACCTCAGTTACACAAGGCTATTTCTCAAAAAAGTTTTCAACAGCAGATATGAAGGTACTGATAATACACTTGAGGTTCTAGTCAGGACAAAATGATGCATAACTTATTACAGAGAAATCTTCCATGCAAACAAACCTTAAGAGAACCAAGCACGTTTAGGTTAAAATCTTCAGGTTTTGCACTATTGAATTGAGAGTCTGGAAATTAAGCTTCCTGATTTTTAAATAAATGAGACTAGAATATACTACTTGCAAGATGTAATTTCCCCATTCTCTTGGGCTGACATAATACATCAGGTATTTGTTTCGAAATAAGTTTACTCAACTGTTACACTCAAGTGTCTGAGAAGGGCCTCAAACTATTACAATAATTTAGCATAAACCATTTCATGTTTGAAAAATATCTACGGTTCCCCAACATTCGACTCATGTTTGAAACTGTGAATATTGACTGCATTAATGTTGCTGCTATAGGCACTGCATGGCTATGGTGGGTTAAACCATCCCTGATTAACAGAGACATAACAAACAGACAAAACAATGCCAAACGTTTACACAGAAGCTACAAAACAGACTCAGGTTTTACCACACTTGTCATTCATTCCCCACTACTTATGTAGACTTTCAATAGGAAGTCAGCTCTGTCAAGAAATGCATGGCTTCTCAATAAAAACAAAGTTTCCTGTCCTCCTCCTCTGTTTTTAAATATCAAAAGGCTCTCCAGAAAAGCCTCAACTCATCTGAGGCAGAAGAGAGAACAGGACTGTTCGGTGCCACTGAGGATGCAAACCCTGGAGTGCGACTGGAGAAGCTCCAAAGTCCCTTCAATTAAATCGTTTTGCACTGTGTGAAACAGCAGCAGCTCCCACACAGCGCTCTCAAACTGAATGAGGGATCCCAACGCTCCAAGATTCAATACCTATGGATATACCCAGCATTTTCAGTTACCCTTTATAATCTTCTCTCTCTCCTATTTCTAGCTCTCCCACAGCGTTCTCTGAAGTATTTTTAACACAACCGCACTGAAGAGGCTCAAGTTTTTCTTTCTCTAGGGACTGCAGTTCTATCAAGCTGTGAACAAATGGAAGACTGAGAAGTTTATTTTTCAGATCTAGGAATACAGCACATAGCGTGTTTGTCCACTAAACAGAAATGCTTGCAACTTGTCCCTCCTCACCCCACTCAAAGGGAGAGCCACATGTTCACCAAGTCAAGTCACCCAAACAATGTTCTATTCGGACCAGGTTACAAAAACACCACCAAGTCATTGATACTGAGGCACACAAATCCAAAACACACCTTTGCTCTGACACGAAAAGAGGAAAAGACCAATGTACCTCCTTTGAAACAAGCTGACTTGTGTCAAAAGACAAAAATACCTCATCACCAATGACAGAGACGTACACAGAACAGTTCACGCTGCATGAGCTGCTGTCCCCAGAGTCACGGGAACCAAGGACAGCAACAGACTGATGAAACCTGGAACATTTAAGTGGCTCGGGATCCAACTCAGATGGTGCTCTGACCAAGCTGTCTGCAGCACATTTCTCATTTTCCCATCTAACAAATACTGTTTTGTTTCAAACCTCTCAAACTAGTTCTGAAATCTGCTAACATGTCGAAGCCTATGTGATCACTAGGTCGTTAAGACACAGTAATCTACTACTTATGACAATGTTTTTTAAATCCTAGTCAGCAAGATGAACAAAGCCATTGGTACATGAATACTCCAGAGCATGCAAGGAGCTATCATTTCCAAAGGTCAAGATTTCACCTTCAGCTGCAGTATGAGGAAGTTTTCAGCCAAAACACTTCAAAGCAGTTGATTTTTCATTTCTACATGAAGTTTGTCAGAAAAGTAACTTACCTATCATGCAGAATTCCAGACTACAAGGATATTTTCAATAGAAACAATGGGGAGCATTTCTTTTCTACTTGTTCCTTTGAAAATACTCCCCCACACACGTCAAATAAATTAAGTCTACTAATTATAAAAAGGTAATAAGGAACTGATTCTAAATTGGTTTTTGTCAAATAAGTGATCAGTGTATATATTTATATTTAAAGTTTTGATCTTCAAGACAATCTGCCTGTATAAATTAAAATGATTATCACTTCTATACAAGTGCTACAACCACAAGTCCAAGTCAGCAGCATAACTGTATTATAAAGCTCCAGATGATCAGTTGTTTTTAATCTTAAAAGCAATACTCCTCAAAAAAAACAAAAATCACCTAGCTGAGGACAAGAGGCTGTTATTTTAACCCAGTTTCAGAAACTGGGCATCTGTTCTGGTTAACTCAGTACTTCGTTTCCTAATTACTTCACAAGTTGTAACACGTACAGCCTTCATGGCAAGGACTGAAAAATCCTACTCACCACCTATGTGTCTCAGAAATCAGATATCAGTGAGAATAAAGAGCATCAGTACTGCCACACTGGAGACTACCATTCACCTATGTCACAGTGTACATTTTGCTGCTTTCTAGACTCATATCACATTAATCCTGCCTATAAACACCGCATTTGGTCTGTCACCTTTCCTTTCTGTCCTGTATTCTTCCTACGATTTACTTCACGTTTACTGCCCTACATTAAGCTCCTTTTCCATCCTTTCAAGTTCCTTCTCCCTTGATAAAAATCTTTCTACTTTGAACCTGGAAAACTAAAGATAATGTCTCAAAGCATCTCTTGCCTTCCTCTCAGGACAACGCACAGTTAAAGATGACTGCAGAGTCACCAGAGTGGATGCAGGCTAGGTACAACACAGTAAGGGTCATCCTTCATAAAACAAGCCACCAGAATCAAGCTAACAGACATGAATATTTAAAGCAAACAAACAAACAAAGAGAAATTTGGTGTCTTTTTAAGAGCTGCAGCTTGACATCAACACACAAATGGAAAGAACGTAGAAGCAGATACTTCATTGGGACACAAAAAAAGGAGTTCTAAATGTGGGGGCTTCTCATATAAATTAACACATGCCCTGTTTGTCTTCCAGAAGAGTTGGACTATGCTAACAGAATTTCATTAAGAAAAGACATTCTTATACGCAATGGACAGAGAGAGATAATCCCATCCACTGCACTTGTCACTTGTATTTTCAGTTGCTATAAATCAGGTTTTGTTTCCCTATCTCTTCCCCAGCCTTTATTTTCAGCACTTTTTCTGTCCTGGGCGGTCACAGTGATTTCCACAGTGACAAAGAATTGGTCATATCACCTGCACCGGTTTGATGAGCATCAGAATGAAAGCTAAAGAAAACACAACCTACAACCCTCCCCTATTCCCAAACCACACAAAACCTCAAGGAAAATAGCAGGGCCATCTTTCACTGTAAGGTGACTTGGGACAACAGAACAAACCCAACAGCCTTAGACTCAGGGAAACCAGAGCAGTAGTGTTACTTCGTCATTCAGGATGACCATGAGCCAGCACTGTGCCCTTGTGGCCAAGAAGGCCAATGCCATCCTGGGGTGTATCAGGAGGGGGGTGGTTGTAGGGCAGAGAGGTTCTCCTCCCCCTCTACTCTGCCCTGGTGAGACCACATCTGGAATATTGCGTCCAGTTCTGGGCCCCTCAGTTCAAGAAGGACAGGAACTGCTGGAGAGAGTCCAGCGTAGGGCTACAAAGATGATGGAGGGAGTGGAGCATCTCCCGCGTGAGGAGCAGCTGAGGGAGCTGGGGCTCTTTAGTTTGCAGAAGAGGAGACTGAGGGGAGACCTCATTCATGGTTATAAATATTTAAAGGGTGAGTGTCACGAGGATGGAGCCAGGCTCTTCTCGGTGACAAACAATGACAAGACAAGGGGTAATGGGCACAAACTGGAACACAGGAGGTTCCACTTCAATTGGAGAAGAAACTTCTTCTCAGTGAGGGTGACAGAGCCCTGGCCCAGGCTGCCCAGAGAGGTTGTGGAGTCTCCTTCTCTGCAGACATTCAAAACCCGCCTGGACGCCTTCCTGTGTAACCTCATCTGGGTGTTCCTGCTCCGGCAGGGGGATTGGACTGGATGAGCTTTGGAGGTCCCTTCCAATCCCTAACGGTCTGGGATTCTGTGATCCCTGCCTGAGGATTAAACAAACAAAAGAACATCCCCACAAACCAAACCAAACCCAAACCCCACAACAAACCATGTAGCAGTTATAAGGAAAGATAGTCTCCCTGCTTGTCACGCCTGGTAAAGGAATGATGCCTGTCAAAGCTTGTACCACACTGCCAGCTGTTTGACTCTAACAAGAGATGGGATCTGTCACACCAAGCCTGCTCCACAAACTAGAAAATTTGATTTTCCAAAAAATCATCAGAACAGATCTTGTCAATAATGGCTGCTTTCACACATGGAAGGTTTCTCAACAGATGCTCAGAGCTTCTAACCAGGAATAAATCCCTATTATACATCAGATTTGTAACTGAGGAGATCCTGGAGGTTTTGTGCCTCCCAAAGACAATGTGCTGTCCTGTATAACTGTTAGCACAGGTCACAAAAAATGCAGACTGATGTAGCTATATAAACTTCTGAAGACTCCAATACACGCTAAGTGCAACGAATACACCTTTTCAGAGTGCCTGAATGCAATGCTGATTTCTTAAATGATCCACTTTGATTTCTACTACAACACAGTAACAAGTTCTTAAATAACTCATTTAACTAGACTGCGTATTAAATACTGAATTCTATAGAACTTGATTGCATTATTTTTTGTAAGATGAACCAAATCCTTCAAACACAATAACGGTGGCTTCAAGAACAATCTCGACATTAACCTGGGATAGCTATAACCAGTATATCTGAATTTCAGAGTTAGAGTCCAACAGTTGTTTTTTTAAAACATGAAAGGAGTTTAAATTAAAGAAATCTGTAGTTTCATGTGCTAAGCTTTCATAGTTCAGAGGTATTTAGAAGCAATGATCATTTTCTACCTAAGAACTAGAAAAGCCACAGACTACACCAAAAGTTATCAGACAAGTAGACTGTGTGTATTTAGCACAACTGTAGGTAAATTTTATGAAACACCTCCGAGAGAATTAGGGTTGTTTTCAGTTTTGCTCATATTAATTTTTTCCTTATATTGCAGCCAGATGGTGCAGAAGAATGGAAACTTGTCAGACAAACTTGCATTTAAAGCGCAGCCTGGCAACTCTCAAAGTCTTCCCCACTGGTGGAACACAACAGGAATTCCCTTCTCTTTAAGTACTGGGTTACACTGAGGTCTGAAACAAGTGTTTTGTCAGTGTTCTGAGCTGACCTGAACTTTAAGTTAAGTTCTTACAGCTGACATCTGCTTAAAATACTGTCACCAGTAACTGGCATTTCTAAAGATGACCATTTGAATAATCTGAGGAAGAATTCCATATTAATGCTGAAGTCGTAAGTAATTCAGGCCATGCACAGAGAGCTGCAGAGATCCCTGCCAGGAATTCTTCCACGTCTGCCCATGCACTACGGTGACACAGGGAATCAGTCACTTCTTATGAACACCTTGACTTCCTCCTCCCTGGCAACTTTATTGGCTGCATAGAAGTCAATAAATAGTTAGGAATACTACATAAAATGGATCATGAAGAACTAACAGGCACTGTAAGGCTCCATGAAATGATGGTATTTGATGTAAGAAAGAGTCCGTATTTTCTTCCAATCTCAAGCTCCTAAATTAAAGTGTGCATGAAAAGTAAAACCCTCATTTACAGGAAGATTTCTTTTTTTTAAACAGCAGCTAAGCAAGACTCATCTGAAGATGTAAGAAATCCTAGGGACCACAACAAATATTATTTTCAGGAACCAGAAGTTCCTCAAAGTTGGTCTCAGTCTCTGCCCAACGACCTGCGACAACGCAAGAAAACTTAAATAATGTAACAGATGTAATGCATAAGTCATAAAAGCTCTCACACCATCACTGCTTGTATCTATGCATCATTAGAGGGCACTTGTTAGAGAAAGGGCCTGGAAAGGGAACTGTGAAAAGGCAAGGGATTTATGAGCAATACGGCCTTCTACGAAACGCACCTACAGGACTCAGAAACAAAGCTCAGGTTAGCTGATTTTCACTGCATCATCACCGACACACGTGCTGTATTTAAAGTGCCATGTCACCAAGGTTACATAAGGCCTGCATACCAAGTTCATCGTGCAAACTGCTACCGCCTACAGCAGATGCAGTGGCATGTGACGCTTCTAAGTGGACACTCCCATTTCTCACCAGCAAGGAGGCGCTAGCGCCGAGCACAGCTGCCTGGGAAGGGGGGCGGGACTGCACTCTGACCTGGGAGGAGGGCTGCTGGCCTTGCTGACCATCTTGAAGGCTACGAGAAAACACGCATTGGGGACACGTTACTAGGAAGAAGAGGAAAAAGAGCTAGAAGTGAAGCAAAACAAGGTGTTTTTAGTTTAAAGAGGAAAACTAAACAAGTATAGCATTAAAAAGCCACTTACTAGGGGTTAAGATAACCCGTGAGTTCTGTATAACAGAATACTTGGACACTGCTTATGTCAGTAACCTACAGATAACAGTTCTCCCACTTCTTAAAAGCAGTATTGCTTTCTAACATCTCCCCAGGTCACCCTCTCAAGTATATTCTCATAAATCTTAATTTGTGGCTGCAAAAGCAACTTACTGCTGGTTAGTCGAATTGCAGACAACCTGAAGTATCACCCACACACAGGAGTGACTATTCTGCTCTTCTCACAACACCTTTCTGCTCACTGAGGTATGACTCGATCAACTGTTTAGTTGCCCACTTGGTTGGTTGTTTTTAGGCACAAGAACATCACCTTTCTAGCTATTAATCTAACTAGAGTCTTTAAGCTTTGTTAGTAGCCATATGCTGCCAAAGACCTTGTAGATAACTGTAGTTAAACGTCTGGATTCAGTCTTTTTTTGAGCTTGTTAGGAATGCTCGTAACAAAATAACAACTGGCAGAAGTGTGAAGTCTATTTTGAAGTTATTGCAACAGCACGGCAAAAGTTTTATTACTTGTTATTACAAACAGAAAGAAAGTTCTCCTACACCCTGGCACATACCTGCACCAAACCCAAGGTTTAAAAGCCAAGTTGGTCTTCAGAGCAGTTTGTGAAGTTTACAGCCATATGAGCAGACAGCGTTTGAAAATGTCAGGTCTCCCTTTTCACAGCCTTCTCATTGCAAAACTATTTTATAGAGCTATTTAACAGAGTTAGATTTTTTTTTAATAGCTTGTTTAATATTAAACATGGCAGAGGATGAGGCTACATGACCTTTTCACTTGTATACCACATCTACTTTGCAAGTTTAGTGTTTCTTTACTATCCTTAATTTTGTGCCTTTAAAGAAGTTACACGTCACAGCTGTCAGCTGCGATGAAATTAAATAATATTTAGATAAAGAATTTCTGTTTTACAGACTACAGAAAACAGCTTGAACACTTTTGAAAAACCACCTATCATCTGTTGCTTTTAACACTGCACTGCTTACAGTGCAATGCTACCAATGGCAAGTAAGGCAGCTGAAAAAGCAAGGTCTTGCTAAGAGCTGAGGGGTGATATCTTTAAACAGGATTTTCTAGAACATCTACTTTTCAGTTCCTTTGTTAGAGCACCACTGGAAAACAAAACACGGATAGAAGAACAGGTGTTGAGAAAAGCTCATGCAAAAGAAAGCAGACATGCACACAGCTCGGGAGGTAAAAAACTGAAACTCATACTTCACTGTCTTCTAACATATTTAAATCTGAGCTTTAAGTTTGGTGTTTTACTGCTGCACACAAGGCTTTCAGTGAGCTACATGGCAACAAAAGCCCTAAGGAAGCTCACAGATGTGCCAGCCTTCATTGTCTCCCTTAAGTATGATCAGCCACACCAAAGCAACGCTAACCAATGCTGCTCTCCCTTCAACAGCAGCCACCTATCAAAAGGTACACACAAAGCTGCCCTTTCAGTGGTTATAATAATGTAATAATTTAAAAAACCCTAAAACACTGACATTAGCAGATTGCACAGATACGCACAAGATATATTTATTCACTGCCTAATTAGTAATTATGAAGTTAAAATTCTGCTTCAGACACCGACGTTCTCATACCAGACACACACGCACATGCCACTGACCACAGCCGTTGCCAATGCACACTTACACTGACAGTGCCCAAAGTAACGCTGACCTTTAGGAAGAACAAAAACGGGGGCGATTGATTTTTTAGCAGTGGGTTTTGGGGCTTGGGAGTTTTTGGGTTTTTTATTTGTTTGATTTCAAGTTTCTCAGGCAAAGTACTCATGTGAACCTGGCAGGATTTACTAGACTAGGTGTTCCATCACTGCCCACCATTGCCAAACATGCACATATATAATGCCACTGTCTCTTTTACTAAACATCCCACAGAGGAAATGAAAAGTAATTGCAATAATGGACAGGAACTGGCTGAACTCAACAGGTTCTAAGGGAACAACCACACGACATCCAATTTTATGCCAGAATTAGAAGATTAGAAGATTAAAGTTTTGCTGGCAAGAGTAAGAAAGAAGGAACATCAGGGCAACTAAAGATTAGTGTATCTCATACTGTCAGAAGTTGAACATCTGAAGTCACATGAATTTGCAATGAGGAACTAGACTGGGGCAGCTCACCACTGGCAAACACAAGTAATGCCAGTACAGCTGCAGTGATCTTTTTGAAAAGATTTTGGTGGTAAATAGATTAATAATAATCTGTATTTCTTCACATTCCTTCCTTATGCACAATTTTATTTTAAAAAAAAAAATAATCTTTCCAGCAACACAGAATTTAAACTGAAATCAAGACTACTTCTAGACTATTAAGCTAGAAATCAGAACAGAGATAACTACAATTTTTCAGATACGTTCCACAGCTGGTAGCTCAAAAATGGAATTCATGTCAAAGTAAATGAGAAAGCTCCTTGGTGTTTGGTTGGACTGAGGCGATTTAACTCCCCTCCAAGGGGCACTCAGTTAACATCACAAACAACTCTTTGGGCAAGCTGTATTCAATCCTGAACATATGTTTATAACACAAGTACTTTAGATAAAGTATGTCTGTGTCAGAGAAAGCAGAGCTATGGTTCGGTATGGGGTTTTTTTGAGGGTTTTTTGTTTGGTTTGGGTTTTGTTGTTTGTTTGTTTTTGTTGTTTGTTTGTTTTTTAAATTTGGGAATGATCAAATTCAGGTACCTGGATGATACATAGAGGAAATACAAGGCTAGACTATTTGATCTCTTTTTTCACCCTTGAACATCTTGTCTCATTAAGAAGTTACTTCCACCAACCTCAGTTTTCTCACGATCCCTCACTGAAGTCCAGCGTAAGCCACGGGAACCGCAACGGCTGCAGTAGCACGTGAAAATGAGGCAGCTCTCAGCCCCAGCGTAAAACACTCCTTTATTTGCCCTACTCTCTACCAGTTTATGAGAAAGAAAACTCACTGTTCTCTGGCTAATGCACAGTTAAGGAGCTCCAATTAGTCTGCATTGATTCTTATGAGCCAATATACAAAACTATACTATCGCCCTTTAAAAAAAATAAAATACCAGACTCTTATGAGCCAATATACAAAATTATACTATCGCCCTTTAAAAAAAATAAAATACACACACACACACACACACACATTAGAAGCAACTGAATGCAATGGAAAGTAGAGCAACAGTGATCTAAGAGGAGGCAAAGTTTTAGCATCCCTTGCTATGAACTAAATCACTAACTTAAATTTGAACGAGCTACCTTCAGCAAGACCAGAAGTTTAACAAAAAGTTATGTGAAATGATGCCATTACTGCTGCCCACTGTGCTAGCCAGCAAAAACACATCTAACTACTTTCAGTCTTTCATATGGCAGAGGTCAGTCCTTCATTTGTTAGATTTTAGGTACCAATCTTGCAAACCTCCTGTCTGAGGAAAAGTTCAAAACTTCATTCTTGACTACTTCAGTGGTGCCACAGAGATGGCACAATTCCTCCCCCATCCTCCACTGCAAAGTATTTTCTTTTTATTTGCTCCGTTTCTACAGCTTTTTCCAGTTAGAAAATATCACAAGTATTCCTGAAACACAAAAGCAGACTGCCCCTATTATTAAAGGATAGCTCAGCATACGAGAGAAGATCATTAAGAATACACAACACATACAATTATTCCTGTGTATTTATCATCTAGCTGGAGGACACACAACATATACAAATATTCCTGTGTATTTATCATCTAGCTGGAGGAAGAATTACTTCGGTACGTATGGGACACTGTTCCTTCCTCTACAGGCAACGTTCTGCTTGCCTCTCCAACACCGTAAGTCACCACAGGATTGAAAGATTTTTTAAAAGTAAGTTTAAAAATACATTGTGGTTGCTGCTTCTACTGTTTAAGCTGACAGACCAAAGAGCTGCTGTATGTAACACATCACTGGGTTCAGTGCTGTTAACAAATGGACCAGTGAAGGCTGGAGACCCCTGGGATCCATGTACATCGTACATTTTAAACAATCAGATTGCATACTGAGCAATACTGTGCATTCTATAACAAAGCATCACTATTACTTCATGATTTCTCTTGTGCTGCAATAAGCTGCAGGATGTTCATACAATGGTTTTTCTGTATTCTAGATCTGGAACCTTTGCACGTATTATTTAGCTCTTCATAAATGTTTTATTACACTTATCTCTCGCTATCTACAAATGTGATAAGTGATTACAGCACCAGACCCTAACGGTTACTTTCTTAAACAAAAGAAAACCAAACTGAGGAGTGGTGATTAATATTTTCTTGGGTTTCTCTCCTTGCTCAAAAGCAAACGTTTCTAAAGCTTTTGGATAAAAAACACTGAGTCCAAGTCTGTTGGCATTAGTTCATCTTGCTATCAACCTGAAATCAGCTATAACATGTTAGAGACTGGCTTTCCTGATCATTTTGAAAATAGTGCCACATAGACATGCACAATTCAACAAGCCCACAGTGACATGCAGTGACAGCTCAAGGAGGTTATGGTGGGGAAGGAAGTAAAAAGTGCTTTTCTGGCAACACCGGTGGGCGTGGGGAGAAGTGGTCTGCTGCATGCATGCTAAATATGGTGGAACATTTAGATACCCTACCTGAGGGGTGATCCGATGAGCAATGTAGGAGGGGTAGGGTTACTCCCTGCATTGTGCCGGCGTCGTACTGCCTGACGCCTAAATGTGCTGCGTTCACGCCGAAATGTGACAGTCTCCTCGCTGGCTTGTGCTGCTGCATCAAGACAGACTTTAGGTCAAAGAAGAACCCATCCTAGTTACGTACACAGTAACTTAAGACTCCTTTCTTCCCCCTGACCCTCCCCAAGTTAACGAACTTGACTTGCAACAACACAAGTAGCTTATGCACCGACTGTTCAAATAACCTGCCTGGAGACAGGATCACAACACACAATTACCAGGAAAAACTTGGGTGGGTGGGTGCTTGGGGCACGTGCTCTTGAATATACGGCTTACGTTTTTTGTCCCCCAACCCCCAGATCCAAATAGCCAGGTTGCAAAAAAAACCCCAGGACATCCCAAATCTCTTCCATTTACACAGGGCAGGAAGAGACAAGACTGATCATTTTTCTCATTTGATAGATCATTAAAGAAGCCTAAAGGACAAGCGAGAAAGGCTGTCTGCCACTCCTCACCACAATATTGTCTTCTCAATGTTATAATTTCTGCCAAACAGGTACAGTTGAGGTTGACCTCATCAGAACTCCTCAGGGGACAAAACAGAGCTGGTTTTTCCTTTTTCCTCATAGGCAGCAAGGAATAGATGCTGCTCAGTTTGGAACAGTTCCACTATGGATTAGAGAAGGGGGTCGAAATAAGCGAGAGAGTAACGTCTTTGTGAGGATCGGTGGTTTTGTTATTTCAACTCCTCAAACAAACAAAACCAAGAAAAAGAAAAGGGGTTGGTCCAGCAACATTGTAAAAAACCAAGTTTGTATGTACTCAACGGAGCCTTTTTTTTTTGACAGATTACCCCCCCAAAATCCACCTGTGCTCCCTAAGCTTCAGAATCTGGACTTCTTCAGCTATGGCCTGCTTCACGGTGTGTCTACAATCTCAGAGTCTTCCTCCTGAGGTGAAGCTACTAACCGATTTGAAAGCAGAGCATTAGAGAGCTCACATGAATGGGTCACAGAGAATACCGATTTTGGCAGGCAAGTAAAGGAGGAAAAAACCCACCAAACTTGACATGAAGTCAGTGCAAGAGCAGAATCACAGTCTTGAAGGGGAAGTCACAACTTGGTAGTCCAGAAGCCTGTTACCAGAGTGAGAGAAAACCAAGGATTGCCTCAAGCCAAAATGAAAAAAAAAACCCAAACCAAAACACTAAGGGAGCAATGGTTTTTGTATGGCAGAAAGTTCACAGGCAGAGCGATCCATGTTTGCTTCAGCACATTTCAAGTTACAACATTCCTGTCATGAAGCTTTCAAAAACGTACCAGCAAAGACTCTACTGCTGGTCTATAGGGAACAGCAACCTACCACTGCTGTGTGCTCCTGTCATAGCTCAAGCAGTGAAGACTCCATGAACAAGAGTCTAATTTCACCCATGAAGCACAGCTTATCAAGTGAATATCCTCTACAAAATCTCGATCTGTAGTCTGCTTGAAAAGCCAAGAAGCTACACGAAGAGATTACTTTAAGACCAAGGTTAACGTTACAAGCTTTTCATTAGCAAAACATCAGAAGTTAAGGACATCCTTAATTCAGTCCTTTACTTCCAGGAAAGCTGTGACATTGCTCACTTTCTCCTCACTCCTTCACAACTGCTTTTGTTATTCCAGGCATGGATAGATGAGACTTCCTTTTCAGTGTATTTCAGCAGTAATTCAATACATTTCTCTTGTGATTTAATATTTGCACTTTGTATTAATACACAGCCTAATTTCTTCAAGGATTTCTTTAAAGCTCTCATACCTGAAGTACTGGGAAAGTGAAACACATTAAGCAAGGCAGTACGAATCCTGACATTTTTCTGGTGGATTAAGTGAACACACAAGAGGCCAAAACTGCCCACTAATTTTGGGTGCTCAGTTTTCCCAGTGTATGCATCAGCATATAAAAACTTCATATATTCACAACACAGCCTCCACCCATTTCAGATGCAAAAAGTAATTCCACCCATTTCTGCTAATCAGGCCACAGTCAAGCACCACGAAATAAAGAACAGTGACTCGGCTTAACTGAAATGTAAACCTCTTAATCACCACTAAGATGGTAAACATCAGCATTGCATCTTAATTACCATTTGCAACTACTTTGCAAAAGCAGCGTTCAGGTGCAATTCAAGGCAGCACAGTTCACACTGACAACACCTGGTTTCCTTTTCGTTTCCTTTATTCCTTTAAGCATCACCTCCTGCAACAACTGAAGCCCAGACTATGGAAACACTAGAGGTCCTTCCTACACAGCTCCAATTCATCACTAAAGCAAGCCTACCTCAAGCCCTGACTGAGGCAGTGTTTTGTGAGGAAAAGAGAAACAAATACGACTGAAAATAAAAAATTAAATGCCTATGTGCTTGGGGATTAAAATCCAACCTGCACAGGCAGATAGTGCTGGCATTTGCTCACTTTTGATTTTTAAAGGTTAAAAGTGAAATAATAACAACAGATTTTGGTGTAGCTACCTAATTAACCAAAGGCTTTTTCATTCATCTTGAAGCTTTTGTTCAGTGTACATCTTCTGTACAAAACTCCTGAACGTAGCTGGTGACGTTCAGGACCACTAAGCAAGCCCGAAAGTTCTTCTGAAAAGACTGCAGAGCTTTTCAGCCCAACAGGCTCCGAGTTCCAAGAAGCCACTTGTTGAAAGCTTGACTAAGGAATTTCACAAGAAAACCAAACCAAACCCCACAGCCTTGGTGAGCAGAAAGGATGTCGGTTTGTTTGAAGGGCAGAAGGCCAAACTGAGCAAAGTTTTGGTTTGGTTGTGGACGTTTTTTATGGGGTTTTTTTTTGGTTGTCTGTTCTTTTTTGTTTGAGGTTTTTTGGTTTGTTTTCTTTTTAATTCATTTTCAAGAACACACAGGATAAAAAAAAAATACCAGTATGAAAAGCTATTTACGTTAATACGTATTATTTGTGTTTCTACTTGTCTGTAATGAGAAGGAGCAACACAGCTGCTTGTGAGTTCACCAGTGGGATGCAAGATAAAGCTCCTGAATCATCCTCTGTCCTGCTCTGAGAGCAGTTGAACCAGAAGGAAAATAGCTTTATTTTAGCGTAAATAAGCCTCGTTTAATATTTACAAAGTAACACAATGTTTTGACATGTAAAACCAAAACTAAACAAAGTATCGTTGTGGGACAGTCAGGGGTTTTTTTGTTTGGTTGGGCTGGGTTTTGGGTTGGATTTTGTTGTTGGTTGTTTTTTTTTAAATACATCTTCAGACCAGCACTCGCACTTCTCCAATGCTGCTACTTAAAACCACCTATTCTAGACTCCAGAAAGGCAAGATCCAACCTCTAGAGTCATGTACAAAACCTACATCTAACAGGGGAAATAACATAGGGTACTTTTACAGTTCCTGCTTACTTTAAGTGAATCAGTAAAGGAAGTCAAGTGCTCACAGAGTGCTTCTTGCCAAAGTCTGGTTTACTTTTGTTTTACTCTAAACCTTTATGTCGAAACTCTACACTTAATGCTGAGAAACATCAGTATCAATTTGTTACGCATGCTGCCATATGAATTTGAGCTCCCAACATTACCTATAGTCAAGAACAGACAAATCGAGTTTGAAGTTCAAAGTGCACAAGTTAGAGACACAAACGTGCATCCCAGAGACCAATAAAATAAGAGGTGGAGACCTAACGACAACTTTTTAGCGAACTTAACCCTCTCACACCTGTTCCCAGCTATGATACATCTCCTTTCACAAAGGAAATAATTTGACTTTTGTACTTGTTAATGCAGCTGTGCATAAGAACACATTTATTAAAATGTATCCCTTCCCTCCCAGTAACACTTCTGATCAGGGAAAACACCAAATTAGCAGTTAGAAAGTCATGGGGATGTAATTTCATCATCACACATTTGCAATGATACTTTCCCAATAAGAGGACTAAAATTTATTGCAGAGAAAATTCTAGAAGAACTAATGATTCCCATCCCTTTGCCCAACAGCTGGAAATACCTGAAGACAGGCTGAACTATCATGGCTGCAAGCTACACCTTTCAAAAACTTCTCCTTCTGTACCACACAAGAACTACACAGGACTTCAGGGGCAATGGTCCCAAGCTGGAGCACAGGAGGTTCAAGCTGAAGATGAGGACAAACTTTGTCAGTGTGAGGGTTATGGAGCATGGCCCAGGCTGCCCAGAGAGGTTGTGGAGTCTCCTTGTGTGCAGACACCCAAAGCCCTGGCCGTGTTCCTGTGTGACTGCTCTGGTGATCCTGCTCTGGAGGGGTTGCACTGGGGGAGCTTTCCAGGTCCCTTCCAACTCCTCATATTCTGCGATTCTGAAGACTCCAAGTTTTACACTACAACTACACCATCGCTGTACAATACATCTAGCTTGAACAGACACAAAACGCAAGTATTTTCTTTTGAACAGGAACATTTCCGCATACAAGCTGCAACATTTACAGTGCCCCCCTGCACGGATGTACCACTGCTTCTAACCCAAACTTAGAAGATGGAAACTGAAGCAGCATGGGAAGAAAAAGGAGAATTTCCAAGTCTTATTGCATCAACAAATGCCATTTCAGCTCTGCTAGGCAAAAGTGCTAAATCCAGTGCCACAGACAAATTCCAAAATACATTTTTCCCAAGTAAGAAGATTCCTGGAAAGTTATGGTATGGAGGTAATACACAGGTAAAGTACCAATGTGGAAAACCACTGAGTTCCCAGGATTAAAGACTAACTTCAGTCTGACTAGGAAAAAAACACCCTAAAATCCCCACACACAATGGAAACATCACATCTCTCAGGAAATGGTAAAAAAAATGACTTGAAGTGATGGTTTTAAACATCAGTCAGGTTAAGCGTGGTTAAACGTGTGCGTGGAACCTGAGTGACGCTTGAACATCCCATTTCTCTCCCCATCAAATGGCAAATTGTGATTTATTTTCAAGCATTTGTAACACTACAAATTCTCAGGGAAAGCTGAAAGGAATAGTTTATGGCTGATGCATTCACATAAGCAACAAAATCTGTCTTCTAACACTGATCATACTTTGCCAAACCAAATAACTGAAATTTTGCATCTATA